CCCTTACTTGCGTACGTTTTATAATTTTTGTGCCCTAGGGGGCCCAACACCATTACTTATCTAAAGAAACCATATAAAAATGAAAAAGAAGTAAAGTTTAGTACGAAGCCAATCAACTTTACGTGCCTTACTCTTTGAGTTATTAAAAGAATGAGAATTATATTAAAACTTTTCAGATGCTTACATTTTGACACTTCCTTTTCAAAATTTGATATTGCAAATTGAATACTTTATGGTTTTTCATGTTTATAATTTAGAGTGATAATTTTAGACACGACACGTTATAAGAAATGAAACTCGCACAAATACAAGAACTTACAAGTACACAATTAACATGAATTAAACACAATTAACATTGGTCAACTAATATCATACTCACATGGCACATATTTAAATACATAAACCTAAGCAAAACTTATTGCCACATCCATTTCACAATAGGACTATCTGATTATAAATTAGAGCGAGAACATCACTACCCTTTCATATTATATCAACTATAATTTTGATACAACTATTCAAAAACAACCACATTCTATTATCCTAAGAATATAGTTACCCATTTAGATAATTTTATGCAAAACAAAAAAACTAGATAGCTTAAACTGTTTTTGGAATACATGTACACACTATATCTGAAAAATGAAAAATAACAGCTATTTATTTATTTTTATTTTTATTTTAGTGCCAGATTAAAATCCAAATTTCCCATCCTTCACGCATAATTAACCCCCAGCAAAAATCATCATTTCACACTCTCACACTAACTTCGAATTCTCTCCCTAACACCAACTCCCATTTTCACGCACAAATAAGCCATTCACGATGAAGAAACTGCATGCACTATAAAAAAACCAAAAACCATCCTCATTTTCCGATTTCGTACATCATTCCAGGTCTTTCACGGACGAATTCATGTAAATTTCAACTTCGGTGAGCAACTTGGTCGCAGAAATACCCAGAAAATAAACAAAGGTAACAATCTTAAAATTTTTCTCAACATATTTCACAAAATCATATGGTTCATTGTTTACATAAGTAACATCTACTGGAATCAAGCATATAGAATAACATGCATCAACTTAAACAAAACCTAGATTATACTATTTCCGTAAATTTATTTTGTTATTTACTCTCAGTACGAATCCGTCATAGATCCACCAAAAAAAAAAAAAAAAAAACTATTTACTAGCCAATTGTTTAATATATAAACATATATTATGCTATACACGAACTAGTGTGATTCTCTGTTTGTAATTTGTACACTTCAGTAAAATAGTTCATGATTTTTAAGTTTAATTAACAGTGTTTACGAAATAGTTTACAATTTGCTTCATTATAAATAGAATTGAAATGTATGGAAATAAATAGGTCACTTTTTTATTGGTAAAAAATTGTGGTTTTCTAGTTCACTTTGATAAATAGTTCAGTTTGCTTTGGTAAAAAAGTGTGGTTTTCTAGTTCGTTTTGATAAATAGCTCAGTTTGCATTGGTAAAAATGTGTGGTTTTCTAGTTCACTTTGATAAATACTTTAGTTTGATAAATAGTTTAGTTTGCTTTGGTAAAAAATTGTGGTTTTCTAGTTCACTTTCATAAATAGTTCAGTTTGTTTTGGTAAAAAAATGTGGTTTTCTAGTTCGTTTTGATAAATAGTTCAGTTTGCATCGGTAAAAATGTGTGGTTTTCTAGTTCACTTTGATAAATACTTCAGTTTGATAAATAGTTTAGTTTGCTTTGGTAAAAAAGTATGGTTTTCTATTTCACTTTGATAAATAGTGTGGTCTATACAAATATAGATCATTAAATAGTTTATTCTGATAGTGTGGCATATTTTGATATAGGTACATAAATAGAATTACAATTTTTCCAAATCTTACGCATAATGCACATCCTATTGTGCATTTTTATTTCTAATTTATTTAGTTCTATGAATCTTATAAAGATTTATACAGTTATAAAAATGTTTTGTATTTCCATAAATAGTAATTCACCTTGGTATGTTTCAGATATAGTGTGTACTCATACTGATTTTTATTTGTTTACAATCAAGTTGCATTCTAATAAAAACTATATTGACAGATGGTTCCAGTTAGAATAACTGTACAAATGTCAAACTCAACTAAAGCCAATGTCAAAATAATATCGAAAACAACAAAGAGGACGCAACAAAGGAAAATGCTTGGAGAAATAGAAAACATATCACATACGAAGAAGGAGACAATTCATCTACAGATTGACACTACTACTGAAGAAGAAGTTCGAGAACCAATGCAAAGTGCAAAGAAAAAAGTGCAAAAAAAAAAAACAACCACTACAAAGGCAGAGGAAGAGGGAGACACAACCTGAAGAATAGAACAATTGTGAATCAAAGAGGCAAAAGAAAAGATGCCAAACAATACAACCACCAACAACAATCAAGAGAAAGAAAAAAGAAAATGCTAAACTAGTTTTAGAATCAAACAAGCAACAAATTGAAGAAGGAATATTGCAAAAAGAGGCAATACAACAAACAAATGAGCATGGTGACAGAATTGACACATTGCCGAACAAAAATGTTTCCACAATGGCAAAAGAAAGAGAGCAAGAAATAAATATTGAAGCTCTAAAAAGCAACAATTCTCTCAATAAGAATGATTTACAAGTCAAAAAGCAAACATTCAGCCAAAAAGCAACAAAGCCAATGACAAAAAATAGGAAGAAAGTCTTGGGTGAAACACCATCATTCAACCTGGATTTAAAAGATGAGCCTTCTTCACAACCGGATGACCTTCCAGCAACAAATTACATAGACAGCAGCATGAATTGGACACAACTTCAAGTGTACAAAATGCTGAAACCGGATGATAAAAGAAGAATAACTCAGTTCTGGTTAATAAACAGCAGGTAACTAATACAAAACAAAACTCTTGACTGAAGTTTTTTTACACACTCCCATAACTTTATAAGCACTAACGAATTATTGTATAACTAAAACTTTTGCACTGTCCTGTAGTGATGAATATTGGATGTCTGAAACTACAGATTTCAACTATTACATAATAATGGTGTTGAAAGAAGACCTTCACAGTTTGATGGCAAATGGACCTACATCAACTCAGATTGTTGATTCTTTGTGCTACCTGAAAAGAGAAAAAGTGAACATCACGAAACAAATGAACTTCTATGTCTCCACAACAATCTTTGTGAGTAAACAAAACAACTAATATTCTGCAAAAATTTTTTACATATACATATAAAAATTTGAACAATTAATCTGTAATTATGATTCTAGATGATTTTCATTTTCAACAGCACAACATCAGTGAACAAAGCATTGAAACAGCTGTGTGAAACAAGGAAAGCCTCTACAACCAATTGATGGACCAATATGGAAATGTATCAAAGATTTTCTTCCCATTGTTTCATTACAACCATTTCTCCTTGGTAGTTTTGGACACAAAAAATATGGAAATGATTCATTACAATTCTCTTCGACAAAGCACAATAGATGAAGATCTGGATTTTGATTGCTACTGGGAAAATGTAGCAATAGTGGTAAGCAAAAACGCACAACCAAAAACTTTGTCATATTTATAGAAAACAAGCATCTTATTATTACATTATAAATTTTCGCAGGGCCATTTTGTTCAATATTGGCTCGATAAAGAAAGAAAATCAACAAGCAATTCAAATGTTATGGATTCAACTCAAGTCACAATGAAGAAAATCAATTCCATCAAAAGTGAATTTGAATTCGAAGTCAAAGAAGAGAGAAACTGTGCACAACAAAAACCAACATCGTACATTAAAAAAATTAAAATCATTTTAGTTATATATATATATACACACACTTTGTGCTTACTGCAATTTTAGAAACACTACGAATAATTTGATACAGTTATAGAAATAGTTTGTTTATTAAACAACTACTCTATAGTCTATACCACACACTTCATTTCATTTTAATACTCATAATCATTCACTTAAATTTCTTTGTAAATCAAATTAGATTGCGGCTTATACATGATGAGCTTCATTGACTAACTCTCAACTAACCAGAAGGTTCAAGGACGTATCAAAGATTACCAAGTAATAAAAGCAAGGAAAGATATCCTCATGGATTTGATGAACCACGATTTCAGCTGGACAAGGGAACAAGAAGCATATATAAAAATCTCACAACAACTGACAAGCATTGGACATTAGAATCAACAATAAAAAATACGCATTTATGTAATTTTGATGCAGATGTACTTTTTAAGGTTCAAGCAAACTTTTGCTATGATTTACAAATGTCATTGTCAAACATGTTTGACACAACTCTCTATATATATATTTCATGACTTAATCTAAATTTAAATCTATTTTGATAAATAGTTCACTGTGATAAATAGTTCAGTTTGCTTTGGTAAAAAAGTGTGGTTTTCTAGTTTAGTATATTTTGGTAAAAAAAAAAAAAAATGTGGTTTTCTAGTTCACTTGGATAAATAGTTCAGTTTGATAAATGCAACACACATATACTTACATACAACCTACAAAACAGATATTGAAACCATAAAGCCATAAACTTAGATATGTATTCACTCTTTATCAAACTTAACATATTGTTTCGTAAAATTTGAAATACTAAAACATTGAATTCATATTTATTACTCGAACATAATTCCAAATCAACAATTACATACTCCCAAACACCAAATGAAACAAAATAAAAAATATCCATAATGAAAATTTGTTACATATCACCAAAGACTCCCATATCTCAAAACAAAAAAGAAAAAAAAAATCAACCGTCTTGTATAATAATTTTACATGAAATCTTGTTATGCCTCGAACATCCACACCTACTACAAGTAACAGTCTTCTTACTCCCACTGATTTCCCTAGCAGATTTGATTCTAGTTTTCTTTGGTCTTCCAGGCCGAATCTTTGTAATTGGAAGCCTTACACCATTTATGATAGTATCTACATTCGGCTTTTCCAAATCTAAAAATGAATACATCACAAACTAATATGTTTTCTAATAAAAGCTTGCTTTCCAGTAATCATCAACGTAATAAAAAACATCACGATTATCATGTTGCAACACCTGCAAAGCATGAGAACATGGAAAACAATTATGCTGTTATTGCACACAAGAACATGTCCTACCATCTAGACAAACAACAAACTGATTCCACTCCATCCTAACTTCAAAAACATCCACATCAGAACAACTAAACCTCCAATGCATGCCCTCCTTCAACATCAACTTCATCTTATTTTCTTTCTTTGGACACAAAATCGTATGAATATTCTGACCAAATATTCTCTTCTCAGCCATACTACCCATCAACCAAACTCTAATGTCTTCAAGAAGATCCAAAAGTGGCATACAACAACTATTTGACACCATGGCGTTAAAAGATTCTGAAAGTGTATTGCTCATCGATCCCCATCTTTGATCAGGAAAATGGGCAATAGCATAGCCCTCTTTTTGCAAATCACACAAAAAATTCTTCACATGCCCTTTCCCATTATCCTTGAATTCCGCCATGTAATCATCAAAGTCAGATGGAGTACATGAGTACGCACAATTTGCCAACAGATTCATCATTTTCTTCTTTAGTCCTTCACTAGTAGCTTTTGGAAATAAAGTACTCACATTCTATTTCAAATGAACAATACAAAATGAATGTGGACACTCAAGAAAGAATTCTTGAATGCTCTTCAAAATACCATTATGTCTATCCGACATAAATGTGATCACCCTCCCTTGAGGCCTCAAAATACCATATACTATTGCAAAGAACCATCTCCAATTTGTTATCGTTTCTGAATCAACAATAGCATAAACAACCTCAAAAATCTCTGCACAACATAAATGAAATGCAATGTCAAATGTCAACTACTTCTGAAACTGTAATTGAACTATTTACTAAACTCTATTGGAACTACTTCTGCAACTTTTTTCCTTTATTTGAACATAAAATCAAAGACTAATGCACAACAAAAAGAAATAGATACAGTCACGTATCACCTATTTACGAGACTGATTAAACTATTTCTTAAATTGTTCTTCAACTAGTTCTGGATATGTTTCTTTTGCACAGTATGAAAACATAAACAAAAAATATGAAATATAAAAGTCTGAAATTATTAACTCACCATCGTTGCCATTTTTTGCACAACAAGATAGAAGTGTTTCCTTGTATCTTGATGATAAAAGTATGATCAATGAATAATATCGGGTGACAAAACATGAAACCTTTTATCCATGCATCATAAGCAATAAACAAACGAAGAAATCTATTGCTCTCCGGTACAACTTCAAGCTCAACAACAGATCCAGGATTGCTTGAACAAGCATATTCAACATACCAAGGCAAGAACTTATAAGCATCAACATCATCACCATTTAACTCAAAAACTACCCTCTGTTTGCCAAAATATGCAGTAGAATAATCAATATCTAATCCATAAAACTATTTTAAGTTTGAAATGATCTCTTTGGTTTAATAAGAGGATTTGACTGAATCTTATCCTTGATGAGAGAAGCAACAAACTATCGTCCAACAATTTTGTTTTTCTTCTTTCGAATCATACCCTTGCATGTATGCATATTATGCAACTTCCGAATAATAAAAAAGTCATTAATATCACACCTGGATGCATACACACGCCAAAGACAACCATCAGATTCCTTCCTAGAACACTCCACATTAATGTGTTTCATATCATTATTCAAATACTTCAATTCAAAACCACATTCAATAGAAAACTTCTTCAACTTATCTCGGAAATCAACACAACCTCCCCTAAAGACTTGCACCTCAGATTTTATGTAACTATCCCATTCACATGACATATAATTGTGCACACCATGAAAGCCATACTTCCCTAAATGATCGTTTTCACTAGCAACGATCATAGAGTCTAATGTACGGCAAGAAGATGTGCTTTCTGTAGGTAACCAAACCATGGAACCATGACATTTATCCATAACCAATATTTCTACAATGGATTTCCCAACAACATTAAGAACCATCAACATGTTGAGAACATCGACATCACAATCTAACACGCAATTAGGATCTTCATTCAAAGCATATTGCAACTAAAAACAACCAACTCTCAAACCCTTAAACCTAGAACAAAGATCAATGCAAATCTAATTGAAGGTTGAACTTGATGAAAGAGAACTAACAACACATAAACCACCATATGTAAACCGAGCTAGTTTACCACCCTCCATAACTATTAAACAAAAACAAAAAAACAAAACAATTCAAATTAATACACAATCTTTTATGCACATAACAATAAACAACAACAAAATGTAAAAGCAACAATAATTGTTTATTAATCTGTTGCAAATCTAAATTCCAATCTCTGTAAAACAAATAAGTACCTATTAATTAAACAATATGCATATAAAGAGAACAAAAATAACACTATTTATAAAACACAACAATCACAAAAACAAAAAGTAAACTGAAATATCCACTGTTTCATAAAAAAAGAACACTATTTCTGAAAAATGTTAAAAACATCAAATGTGATGAACACCTATTAGTTAAACAATATATATATAAAGTGAACAAAAATGACACTATTTATAAAACACAACAATCACAAAAACAAAAAGTAAACTGAAATATCCACTGTTTTGTAAAAAAAGAACACTGTTTATGAAAAATGTTAAAAACATCAAATGTGATGAACGCCTATTAGTTAAACAATATACATATAAAATGAACAAAAATTACACTATTTATAAAACACAACAATCACAAAAACAAAAAGTAAACTGAAATATCCACTGTTTCATAAAAAAATAACATTATTTCTGAAAAATGTTAACAACATCAAATGTGATGAACACGAATTAATTCATAATAAATATCTGAAAAATGAAAACAAAATCAAGATGAACAACATACAATATAAAAAAAAAATAAAAAACAAAACAAAGCAAAACTTACCTGAGATTTTTCGAAATAAGAAACTCCTAACTGAAAATTTCACAAACCGGAATCAATCTGCTAATCTGAAAACAAATCAACAACAATATATAAGTCAAATAAAAAGATAAGCATATTACTTGCAAAAACGAATTCGAAATCAAATTCAAAAAAAAAAAAAAAAAAAAAATACCGAATTCAAAACTGCAAAAACAATGTCGATTACCTCCAAACGAAAATCTAACCAAATATGAAAGGCAATCACTCCAGTGAAAATATTCAAGCAAAAGAACAACACCGATGACAATGATTTGATAAAATCTCAAAATATGCAACCACTGCAAATTTGTTCTGAAACAAAGGTTTTTTCCGAAAAAAATCCTCTTAACAGGGACGAAGAACAACGGCGATCACGATTTCGAAATGCGCTCTCAACATTCGTCTGCAAGCATTACTCAAACCACTCAACCAGATTCAGAAAAAAATTGAAGAACTCTCTGAAACTGTTCTGCAAAAATTAAAATTTAGTTAGTTTATAGGTTTGGCTAAGTAATCTAACAGAATAGTTAAGTTAGGTTAACCAAATCCGTTAGGGGTAAATTTGACAAATCACCATGTTATTTTGTTTGGGCTATTTTATTTGGGCTAATATAAAAATGGGCTTTGTACTAACCATTAAATAAACTTCTAATGTAGTTTTTGGTTAAAAGTTAAAGTTTTCAAATCCTTTTGGTTAGTTTTCCTTAAAAAAAAAAAAAAAAACGAAGATAACATAAAAACCAATAGGATTCTCTCCGGATCTTATTGGTGAGGTTCCGTAAATCGTCTTCGTTTATCGTACATCGTGCGGTCAGTTTTTGTCAGGTGCTGTTTGTGCTTAATTTTAAATAAAAATATTTAAAATAATTTCTGACCGCATGATTACGATGGACGAACACAATTCACGGATCTCCAAGATCCTCACAAAGAGGATCCAATAAGGATCCAGATTCACATAAAAGGGGAAATGCGGCACAAAATAAGAGTCTCCCAACGCGAACAGGCACAAGATGGAGAAACGGAAGATGTAGGCTTTGTCGTGAGTCAACATCGGAATTTCGGTTGTTTCTTTTTATGTTTCCAAATTTATTTATGTTGTCTTTTAAATTTACTATAAATTAAATAAGTTTTGCTAGAGTGTAGTCTACCTATGAATACTCAAAATTTATAATTTTATAGTCATCTTAATTTTTTGTTATTGTTCTATGTTGAGTGTTTGTGATTATTCTTAATTCTGCAATTAATTGGTCACTAGTTGTTTGATTAGAAGAATTAGGTTGTGACCAGAGGAAATACCTAATATACTTCTTGTGACAAATGTCATGTCTTGAATAAGTGCCAGAAATGGACTAACATGATTCATGAAATTTTTTACTGATTTTTCACAGTACATAATAAGTTTTTGTTTTTCTAAAGCTCTGAAGAGAATGAGTTGTTAATCAGGGATCCTTTTTGTTGAGACTGGAAATGGATAACAAATAATTAGGAAGATCAATTGTCAACATAAGTAGTAATTAGGGTTAATATACTATAGATTTCGGGTTGGATTGGTTTAGTGAAATCCGTTCTTAGTGTTAATTCAATTTTGCTTTGTTTTCAATTCATTGTCATCTTTGTTGGCATTTAGTTTCTTTGCATATCTTATTAGTCATCAAATTTTTGTTTTATTTACTATTTTAAATATGAAATTATCACGATCAGTAAGTCAGATTAATCCAATCCGTATGGGCTTATAGTTGCGAGGAGATTTTCTTTGTAACTTCTGTTTAAAAAGAAAATAAAACTGTTTTCAGACCCCCTATCACATAAGCAGAAATTGTAATTAACTCTTCATGCCACACATTAAAACGACAAGAAAAACGTGAAAAATACTTTAGACATACCTGAATGTGAATAGAATGATTTTACTGCATTGAAATCAATAAAAATTACAACGATGAGACTAGATATGGTCCAAATACATGGCAATTAACAACTAGATTCAAACTCATAAAACAATTAAGCAACAATAAACAGCCATCTAGTAATCATTTCACTCGACTTTTCTTGGTGTTAGAAGCACCTGGTTGACCATTTTGTCCAGATCCACAAAAGATAATCCATTAGGACCACTACTGGCCTCCTTCGCCGACTTCTTCCACTCCAAAGATTTCTTTCTCATCTCTTTGCCCTCCTCCCCGTCCATTAACTTTCTCACAAGCCCCTCCACATATTTTCTTTTCACATCACCCTCAATCTCCAACCCAATGCCCCACTCTTTGCAACTGAACCTGCAATTGGTTTGTTGTTCCGCAAAAAAGGGCCAACAAATCATAGGCACTCCACCGCACACGCTTTCAAGCGTAGAGTTCCATCCGCTGTGCGTCAAAAACCCTCCGATAGCTGGGTGACTCAGAACTTGTTCCTGAGGACACCAACTTGCCAATAGGCTCCTATCTTTGGTCTCCTCCACAAACTCCGGAGGAACCACAGCTGAATCCCCACCAACTAAGTCAGGCCTAATTACCCACAAAAAGGTCTTCTTACAATTTGCAAGTCCCCATGCAAACTCAATTAGCTGCTCATTTGTCATGACTGTGATGCTTCCAAAGTTAACATAAACCACAGAGTTGGGTTCTTTAGTGTCAAGCCACTCAAGGCACTCTGGTTCTTCAGTCCATAGGTTCGATCCGATTGACTTCAACTCTTTATCCACCGGATTCTGACCGATTTGTAGATTTAAAGGTCCGATGGAGTAAACAGGCGGAAGCAGAGTTGAAAGTGCATTTAAAACTTCACGTTCGAAGTCATGGAATGTGTTCAAAATAATTGCTGAAGCCTTTTTCGCTCGTTCTGTCTCGACCAGAATAAAATCCAGCATTTGGTCATCTGGTTCTGTAGTTCTTATGAAGCTTGGAATGTCCTTCAATCGGATATCTTTCATTCCTGGTAGCCAATCTATCACGGTATCCAAATACCCGTTTGTCAAATAGCTGGCATCTACAAATCCAATGAAGAAATTGTGTTAACATTATAACCATTGCATAGCTGGCATCTACAAATCCAATGAAGAAAGTGTGTTAACATTATAACCATTGCATGTAAAAAGTTTAGTGCAACTTAAAGTTAAAGTTATCAGAAAGAAAAAAAAAAAAAAAAATGCTAAACAGATCAAGAGAATCAAGTAGTTAGGATTTTGTTTTGTTCGATCAAAATATACCTTTATGAGGAGTGAGACCCTTTTCAATGAGACGGTAAAACTGCATGTAGGCCAAGAAGCCACAAGCACTTGTTGTCCAGAAAAGCACTTCGGGAATCCCAAGTTCCTGAGCTGCATCAAGAGTGAAGCTCATGACACCATCGGAAACTATGCAACTCACAGGAGGCGAATCGGGTGAAGAGTTGAGCTTGGACAAAAGCTCTCTGAAGTGAGGCAAGCATGTTTTTTTAGTGGAATGACACAAAGATGGTATGTCTTGGGTAACGTTGGCATTTGTTGGAGGGAGCCCATCGGGAATGGTCTCGAACTGGAAAGAGGGAAGGCCGTCAAGGGAGTTGGAACCTCGGGATTTAAGGAGGCGTTTGCGGTTGAACTCTGTGTTGACAAAGGTTATGTGAAAGCCTTTGAAGTGGAGGAGTTTGGCTACGTTGAGCATAGGGTTTATGTGACCTTGAGCTGGGAATGGTATGCAAACTGCATGCGGCTTTTCTGCGAAACTAATCGAACCCATTTTCTTGAAATCAAAACACAAACGCGAACACAAAAGCAAATGGAAATGAAGGAAATTGTGTGGTGGTGGTGGGAAGAGAAGTGTTAATTAGGATATTTTTATAGAGTAAAGGGTCGGTGTATAAATTGCATGACTAATTTTTAATTAATTTAAAAGTCCATACATCCGGCTGGTCATAGCTTTTATGGTTGATGACAGAATGTAAAATTACCAGCTGACTGTTTTTAATTAATTTAAAGTCAATAAGTCAGACGGTGTGAAATCGTGAATGACCGAGTAGCATTTTTCAGATTTGAATCTCATCCAGGTTCAAATTGTAGGGATTTTAGAGATCTTCATATCTTAATTATTTATCGTATATCTTGTAATCCAAAATTATTTGATATTTTATTTAAAATTAAACATAAATAATACCTGAAAGAAAAAAAAACTTGTCGTACAATGTACTATGAACTATTAAAATATGAGAATTCTTATAATCCCTACAAAATGAATCCAATCCTCTTCTGCATTTTTCATTTGCAATTCTCTTGAACCGCGCGATTTGGAGCAGACGCGCCATAACGATAGGGATTGTGTCCACATGCACAATTTTTTGTGATGGTCTTCATACCCAAATGGGAGTCGGTATGATCCTTATCTTTCCCCTTGCAACTGACATTTATTAATCATGGACAATACTCAGTATCCAATTATTAGAATCGAATCAGCTCTACGTAAATATACTGATTCGGTCCAATGATATTTTAATAGTATTTAACTTTTAAAAACGAAAAACACTTCAGTTTTTGAACGGACCTGCTCACAAAGTTAAAATATAGAGTAATTAGTACTTAGTACTCACCAGTACTAATTATTCATTAGAATGCTAAGAAGGATTTTCAAAAGTAGGATTTTGCATAGACTTTTCGTCATCACATGCTTTTAGTATACGTGCCAATATTATAAAATATTATAAAAAAATATAAGGTAACAGAGTCTATGGAGAATCTCACTTTGAGAGAGTCTCCTTAGCATTTCTCATCCATTAATCATTCACTCAACATATTATTTTTTCATTGTAATAGTTACGGGGTAGAGAGGTTCGGAAGCAGAGGTGCACCCTTTTATTTTCTGTTCCGATTGATAGGAGTCTCTACATAAGAGCCAATTGGTATTCCTTTTAGAACCTTGGATGATGGCCTTGATAGTTACGACTTTTCTTTTTAACCTACTGCGTGCTCGATTTAAACTCTTTTCTTCTCTAGTATAAAACAGTATAAGATATTGCATATAGTAGAAGAAAAAAAGAACATATTATTGCATTTTAATTCTTTCAAAATCATTAGAGGAGGCAAAAAAAAAAAAAAAAAAAAAAAAAAAAGGTCATATTTAGAAAAACTATGTTGAACTTTAATTACCGCTAGATTGTGTTGAGTGGCTGTTTGGACCCAAAATAATATTGTTGGGCCGAGCAGCAGGATGTGCTCGGCCCAAGGTTATTTCATATTATGGGCCGAATGATAAATCCTGGGCCTGTTGGCAGGATCGGTCACATCCTATCCTAAGTAATCCGGATAAATAGAAAAGATCGAAGGAGTCCTGGTGCGACCAGGATTTCCGACCGACAAAGAATAAAGCCTCGAAAGGAAGAAAAATTCAGAATCCCAATGGGAGTAAGTTTGTTCGAGTTAGAGTTGAAACGGGACAAGGACTCCCAATCCAGATCAGAATGCAAATCGGTCTCAAGGAATGGAGTGCTATAAATACAAGAAATCATGCAACAGAAAAGCCCCTTCAATCCAGCATACAATTGCCCTGCGCAAAACCTCTTAAACACCTTGAGATTTTTCCTTTTCGTTTCTGCCAACATACCTTCAGTTTGGATAAACAGCACTGTGGAGGCACCCGGCGAGCACCTTCAGTTTGGATAAACAGCACCGCTGCCGCATAATCAGCTACCGAGAAGCACCTTCAGTTTGGATAAACAGCACTGCTTCGAAGCCGACCGATTACCTATCTAAGTCTCGGCCGAGAAGGGTTTTTCGAACCCTTATTGGTAGAGGTCACCTTGCTAGCCTTCTCGGCATAGTCAGGTGTTACGAATTGTGTTGCTCGGCGTACTGTACGCCGAGTGATTTTATGATTGGATACTCGTAAGTAAGTTTCAGGGTTCGGCACTCCGACGGCCGAACTACATTTACCATCAAGACATACATCACGTTTGAATACCTGTGCCCATACAGTTTGGTCTCGATTCGACGTGCTTATACTCTTACGAATATAATCACAGTGACCGAATCGGGCCTCTACGATTTGTGAACTCCGCAGAATTAGTAGCCTTGTCTTCAGACTATAGACCCCAGAGACCGAGAGTGTTCCTTCCTCGGTTGCAATCGCAAGATAGAGAAGTCAACAACGCACAACACGACATCAACAAATTTTACTCCTCGGTCGAGCTCGGCCGACGAGTTGGCACGCCCCGCACTCAACCGAAGGACGTAGTTAGCTTATTAGTTACTCGGCCTGCGCACCACGTAGGTTTTGTAATTTTTAGAGTCAACATTTTGGCACGCCCAGTGGGACCTTTGTGCTAAACCTTCGGAGTTCATGACCATTGAGACACGGTCTGTAAAGAAGAAAACAATCATGGGAAAGTCGACAACTGACTTACCAATGCAAGGTCTTGGGCAGGATTTGCAACCTGCAAAAAATCCGATCATTGTTGCGCCACCCGAGGCCACAAGCGCGACATGCCGAGAGAATGAAATCTATCTCGGCGAACAACCTCGCAACTCAGAGGTCCCTAACCAAACAGCAGACATGTTCGTGGAAGGAATCGTGGAAGATTGCGACGACGATGGTGGGGGGGGTTCCTATCCACCAACTAGGTTGTTTCTTCGGAGACGGCTGGATGAACAGTATCGACAGGTCGAGCAGTCGATTGGTCAAAAGATGAATGATTTACTAGAAGCAATACGAAGTAACAACGATACACAGACCAGGATGCTTGAACTGTTGGTTAGTAAAGCCTTCGAAGATGGCCAGGTCGGCCAACCTCGGCAACTTTCTACGAATGTTCCAATACAAGCCGAGAGAGGGTCCGCTCGGCCGCAGCCAATCACCTTAGACAAAAGAGGTGGACCGGGAAATAGATCCGAGGGACCAAGCCAGGGAGAAGAAGTCGCTTCCCTAAACATGACCGAAGTCTAGAGAATGATTGACTCGGCCCTAAAGAAGGGGCCGAAGTTTTCAAAATTCATCCATCCATACCCGGCTTATGTAGAAAGGCTTGAATACCCACGAGGTTTTAAGATCCCTGATTTCAGTCTCTTCGCCAGGGAATCGTCTTTATCCTCATTAGAACATGTGGCTCGGTTCACAGCGCAGTGTGGAGACGTCAATAGCGACTTCTATAAATTACGGCTGTTTAATTTTTCATTGACAGGCTCAGCCTTCGCCTGGTACATTAATCTCCCGCCCAACTCCGTGCAGAGTTGGGAAGAGTTAGTCAAAAAGTTTCATGAACAATTTTATAGGCCAGGGATGGAAATGTCCGTATCATCGTTGGCCAGGATGGCTCAAGCGTCCGACGAATCTCCAATGGAATATTTGACAAGGTTTAAGTCGGCCAGGAATTGGTGCCGAGTACCTCTCCCCGAAGTGGAATTCGTCAGGATAGCCCTTAACGGATTAGGTGGAATACAAAAAGAAGTTTCTGGGGGCAAACATTTGAGATATGTACGAACTTGCTCAACACGTCGAATAGTGATTATTTGCTCCGAGAGGAAAAGATATCGAAGTCACCATCCCGGGGGACGTTGTATAAGAATCCCATGGTTAGCTATGCATCGGCCGAAAGCGAGGACCCTCAGTATGTTAGTGTGGATGCGGCCGAGATAGTAATAGATAAACCCTACGTCTGCAAAGCTTTGGCTCAAGTGAGTTCCAAAGACACCAAAATCCGTTCGGCCACCGAGGAGATGAGTAAGTCGTCGAAAGTATACACTTTCGACATCACCAAGGCCGATGCAATTTTCGATCAACTATTGGCAGCAAAGATCATCAAGCTTCGGCCGGGACATATTATCCCTAAGTCCGATGAATTGAAGGGAAAGATATACTGCAAGTATCATAATTCTAATAAACATGCAACCAATAATTGTGTTGTATTCCGGGACACAATTCAAAGTTGGATCGAGAAAGGAAAGTTGAAATTTCCGGAAAAGCAGATGGCGGTCGACGTCAATCCCTTCCCTTCAACAATAATTGGAATGGTGGACGCTCATCTTCCTAAAAACAAAGGGAAGGCTGAATACGTCCCGGTGCAGCATATCCGTAGACGGAATGGTCAAACAAGACTAAAGCTTGATTTATTTTCAAACGCACCACCTACGGAACAATCGGGGCCACCCACCGATGAACCTATGACGAGGTCGAGTTCCGACGAAACTCATGAATCAAAAGTTTTATGTGACCATTGTAAAACACCAGTTGAACCTGGGAAGAAGACGTCCTCAACACCCCCCACGGCCCCTACAACATCACCGAAGGGGCTTGGTAAAGGTCCACGACGCCAAGTGTTTGATAGACTCGGCCCACAAGTACGGCCGAAAGACCAGGCCCCGGTCAGGCGACGTCTTGACTTCGACGTACCTTTCTATACTGAAGATTATTACTCGCGCAATACCAACAGTTCGGGCTCACCAGCCGATCGTAAAACTTTCAAACCACCCAAGACATCGGATCAACACTGGTACAGTTACAATTCTCCGACTGGTTTATATACGGCGCTATCTAAATTTCAAAAACGTCGCCGCCAACGGATAGATTGCATAGCTCGACGGCGAGAAGCGCAGGCCAGCCCTGCCAACCAGTGGCAACCAAAAAAGGCCGTGGAAAACATTAGTAAACGGCCAACCCCGACTATCATGATCGAGTTAGTCGAATGGAGGAAAGTAGCGGCTCCCGGCTTCGAAACCACTATCGAAGAATCTGAGAAACGCATCAAGCTCCTTTTCCGGCCTGGGGAGACGAGAGCTCGCCTCGAGCACTTTAGACAAGAGGCCGAAAGGAAACTTTCTCCGTTACCACCG